ATTTTGACAGTTTGGGAGAAACTTCACATCTACAAGCATTTTGACAACATTTGAGATCTTCCAGACAAAAGCTTACATCATTACTCTAAATTGTGTCAATTTGATTAATTTAGAAATACTTATGCTAATAATTTGTTGAGTCATTTGAATTTTTTATCAATCTTATGCTTGTCATAACTTTGAATACAATTCTATCTATTTCAAGTTCAATTTATTTGAGATTCAATTTATTTTCAAAAATTCAATTTATTCTTCTATGAATTAACATAATTTTGAAATAAGTTAAAGATTTCTGAATATCACTTTATGTTAATACTTTTAAAGGCATGGAATACAAAGATTCAAAAAGAATGGGGTATATTGAAGCAGCAGAAGAGACAATTTGTTGTAGCAATCCTTGCAAGTAAATGCACCAACAAGAATCTTTAAGCCCAAGAATGATGCTTATTTCTTCCAGTAAGGTTGTTACAATGGATGCCACCGACAACAAGGTTGAGTCCATTAAAACTACTCATCAATTGCTCCAACCGATCATCATTCAGTTCTTGCACATCTGCTTTCAAAAGTATGCCAAAACAGTAAAAGACAACCTCTGCATCATTGATCCCAGAGAAAAGAGACAGGACATTAATACCACCATGGAACATGTTTCTATACAGATCCTTGTATATGGTTTTTATGGAAAACCTAGAAGTATTTCCACCTCATCAGATTCAAGTAGAACAAGTGCTCATAGCATCTTCTGGAAGTGTTCTTTGAGTTATCTGATCTGGTTTGGTATGAACCCTAAAAACCAATCATTGAATTTGGAAGATGAAAGTGCTCATAGCATCTTCTGGAAGTGTTCTTTGAGTTATCTGATCTGGTTTGATATGAAAAAAACCAATCATTAAATTTGGAAGATGAAAGTGCTCATAGCATCTTCTGGAAGTGTTCTTTGAGTTATCTGATCTGGTTTGATATGAAAAAAACCAATCATTGAATTTGGAAGATGAAAGTGCTCATAACATCTTTGGAAGTGTTCTTTGAGTTAGCTGATCTGGTTTGGTAAGAACCACATAACCAATCATTGGAATTAAAAGATGAACTGCAGATCGTCTTCATTAAGAAGTTTCTTTTCAAGCTTCTTTTGCTTATTCCTTTCCCAAAAATCATAGCCCAAGTTTCGGCTTTTCTTGTAATTGGGATCATTGCATAATGACTTCCTACCTTTTACATGAAGAAGTGCATCAGCAGCCTTAGTCATTTGAGCAGCACATATGAAATCTGTCAATTCTGCAATTGATGAATCTGGACCACATCTCTCCATGGCTATTGAAGCTTCAGCCTTTGAGAATCCCATTTTTGTCAAGTATAACAGTTTATTCTCCTCATCAGAATCAGAATTCAAGATTTCTCGGTATTAAAAGAACTATCGATATCTGTGAAATCATCTTGAAAGGTCACTTCATAATCAGATGAGTTGTTATCAGAATCAACATGTTGCATGAATGCAAGCTTTTCAAGAGCCTATACTATTGAGTTTTATTCTCAAGAGGTTTTGCGACATTATATCTACATCTACATTTGTCAAAGATGATAAGATTCTCTGATTTGAAGAAAAAAGATTTATTGGGTTTCTACAACTGAAGAAATACTCAGTTCACCAATCTGAAATCAAATAACTTAACATTCATGCATCATATTTAGGCATTTGCAAAAATATGTGCATTTTCATTCATTCTCATCCATGTTGAATTTTGACAGGAATTTCAAAGATTTTTAGCAAAGATTCAAATCCATCAATTGATGGATTAACATTGCCAGGTAGAGTTCATAATGAAAAGAACTCATCATCTGAAGAGGGAAGAAGAAGTTCATAATGAGAAGAATTTGTTCAACCTTTTGTTTAAATTCATCAATTGATGGATTAACATTGCCAGGTAGAGTTCATAATGAGAAGAACTCATCATCTGAAGAAGGAAGAAAAAGTTCATAATGAGAAGAATTTGTTCAACCTTTTGTTTAAATTCATCAATTGATGGATTAACATTGCCAGGTAGAGTTCATAATGAGAAGAACTCATCATCTGAAGAAGGAAGAAGAAGTTCATAATGAGAAGAATTTGTTCAACCTTTTGTTTAAATTCATCAATTGATGGATTAACATTGCCAGGTAGAGTTCATAATGAGAAGAACTCATCATCTGAAGAAGGAAGAAGAAGTTCATAATGAGAAGAATTTGTTCAACCTTTTGTTTAAATTCATCAATTGATGGATTAACATTGCCAGGTAGAGTTCATAATGAGAAGAACTCATTATCTGAAGAAGGAATAAGAAGTTCATAATGAGAAGAATTTGTTTAACCTTTTGCTCAAATCCACCACTTGATGAATTAGCTTTGCCAGATAGAGTTCATAATGAAAAGAACTCATCTGAAGAAGGAAGAAGAAATTCATAATGAGAAGAATTTGTTCAACCTTTTGCTCAAATCTATCATTTGATGGATCAACTTTCCAGAGAAAGTTCATAATGAGAAGAACTCATCTGAAGAAAGAAGAAAAAGTTCATAATAAGAAGAGCTTATTCAACCTTTTAAATGACTCTATCAAAGAAGGAAATAGGTCAACATCATCCCCAGCGGAAAGTTCATAATGAGAAGAACTCATCTGAAGAAAAAGAAGAATTTATTCAACATCTCCATATTAATCAAGTGAAATCAAATGAAAAAAACTTGTTATCTTTTCGTCTTTGCTCTATTCTTATTAAGAATAAGCAAAGAGGGGCAGCTGAAGATATTCATTTTTTTTCATTTAAATGTTATTTATATTATTATTATTATTATAATTAGTATTATTATTATTATTATTAATATTATATAATTACAAAACCTGGAGCCCAATAATCAGGCCCATATTACAAGCCCAAACCAGATAGAAACCCTAAAACATTTAGGGTTTCAATTAGGGTTTTCTAACCCTAGCCCCGTGCGCCGCCGCCTCAAGGGTTTCCAGCCGCCTCTGAAGCCATTCCAGCTGCCGCTGCCTCCAGAAGTCCTCAGCCACTGCCGTTGGTTCCAGAAGGCCACACGTCCACTGTCTACGCTCCCCCAATGCCACGAAGCCGCCCCGAAGAAGCCTCCAGAAGCTCTGCTACCACAACCCCAACCGTCCACGTCGCCTCTATAGTGAGTCACCAGCATAGCTTTGGTGACTCACCGAACTTTTCACCCTTCAGACCGGTCCGATGGCCACACCGGTGATGGCTATAAAGCCATCACCCCATCTGCGAAAAAAGACAACGGAGCCAGAGAGACAAAAACCAAAAGCAAAGATACCAAAAAAGAGACCAACTCACAACAACCAGCAACCAAAAACAAAAGAAAATGGAGGAGAGAAGCTTACCGAGGAAGCTACGACCACCGGACCTCTTCAAACGTCACCAAAACCTTCGAAAACCGAAGGTATTTTTCTTAGATTTGCTCCGATCGGGAGCCGTTTAAAAGAAAAAACCATCGGAACCGTCATTAGGACGGTCCGATCTATATTTTAGTATAAAAAATTTTATTCCGTCCACCGAAGACGGTGGCCGGCGGCGGAAGAACGCCAGCGGACGGCTGCCGGCCGGCTGGCTTCTCTATGTTTTAGAGAGAAGCGAGAGAAAATTCTCTCTCTCAGAGAAGAGAGAGAGAGGAAAAAAATGAGAAATGAAGCTGGCCCTTCGGGCCAGCCGGATTTGGCTTTAAATAGCCCTTCCCGAACGACGTCGTTTCGGGGAGGGCTATTTGTGTAATTGTTTAATTGTTAAATCCCGTCTGCCATCCCTCAAATTTGTAAACTTTACATTTTAGTCACTAAATCAATTTATAATCCTTTTAATTCGGTTCTTTAATTTCAATTTTATTTATTTTAGTCCTTTATATTAAAATAATATATATAGGGTAAATAACATATTTAATCCTTTAATTTTAATAATTAATGTTTTAATCCCGAGTTTATATTTTTAATTTATTTTAATCTGATATTCAAATTTTAGATAAGTTTTATTTTAGTCACTAAATTAATAAATAAGAAAATAACATGTTTAATCCCTATAATTTTGATTAATCATGAATTAGATTTTTAATTTTAATTTTACTATAATTAAGTCACCAATTTTAAATATTTTCATATAGTTCTAATTGTATTTTTATTGTTTTAATTTTACTTGTTTATATATTTAAATATTTTTTCATAAATATATATATAATAAATAATAATTTATTTTTTTCAATAAATTATTTTAATATTTTTCAAAATCGAAGAAAATGGCAGTCTTAATACAACTGGATGTCCTATTCTGGTATTTTAAAATTAAATATTATAAAAATATTATTTAATTTTATTCAAATTAATATTTATTAATATCAAAGAAAAAAACTGTCTTAAGGCACCTAGAAGTCATTTTCTGATATTTTTAAAATAAATAAATTTTTTATATAATTTTGAAATAATAGGATTATAAATTAAATATATTTTGAATTTTTAAATTTTTAATAATAGAGACAAATTATAATTAAAAAGTACCAATTTTGGGCGTTGTAGGGGTGCTAATCCTTCCCTAAACGTAACCGACCACGAATCCCTTTTTATTATTAAAAAGAACGAATTTTTGGTTATAAACGCAGATCAGTTCATTTTTTTAATTGATGTTTTCTTAAAACTCTTTTAAAAAAAATAATTTTTAGGTATTCGACCTACCTGACCCAAAAGGCCGATGGCGACTCCCAAATTATTTTCAAAACCATTTATTCACATCAATTTTCCCGCCAAATAAATTTTTCGTGCCCGGACGAAAACGGATTACGACAAAAGGCACTGTGAGCTGACTTATTAACATCATTTTGATAATTTTTCATTCGAGTTTATTTATAATGCTTTGGGTCGAGTTTGAAATTTGAACGAATCAAATTCGTGTATTTTAATATTTAACCCAATTTTCTTTTTTGTATAATATCGAATAATTTCTTAAACGTGAACTCACGAAAAAAAATAACAGAAATTAGAATCTAACATTTGAATAAACCCACTCAAACAGTTGGATTAAGTTTTGAATTACAAAAGATCAGACCCTATTTCAATTACTTGAACCGAGTAAAATAGCTACTTAAATTATTTCCCAAGGCCGAGATTTCATTTTACGCATGCATTGATTTGGCACTCAGCCATTGTATGCTTCCCTTATCACCTCTAATACGCGATTTGCTATGTCGGGCCCAAACAAACTTGGGAAGCTTGAACCTATGTCAATCTCAATGGTCTTGTTCTTAATCAACCCATCCCTCGCCTCCAAATATGCCTTTCCTGCCTCATCAACGTTTCTATGTCCGCATGCGCATCGGTCCAACCATATCCCCAATGCATCTTTTGCTACCGGATGTACATGACCCTTTATAATCTCCTCCATGCGTCCTTCTCCGGCTCCCTCCGTATTGATTCGGATCATGATTGACGTTGGGGATGTAAGGCACCGAATGTAAAGAGCAGAGGAGTAGTAAGGTTGAACTTCTGGGAGTTCCTCAAACGTTTGCCTAAGTGATTCGAGTCGGGTGTTCTCGTAAAAATTATTAAGGTACTCGGGATATAAGACTAGGTCCTTTCGAGGGGGCAGATCCAGAAGGAAAACAAGCGATGTAGGGCTACTCTGTATGAGTTCAATCAGGAAATTCGGGGCATCTGTGGAAGCATTCAGATATGTTGAAAGGCTTGTTATGTTCAGTGCTCCCCCTGTTGGCAGCTTACAGTGTATCCAACTTCCTAGTACGAAATCAACCTGAAACATCCATAATTCCATATTTTCAGAATCCCGGATATGGAACACTAGATCATAAGGCTTGCAAATCAGCAAAATACCAACTGACCAATCTCAGATGGCATATGAAGCAATATAGTGCATTTACAGAAATGAAAACAGCAGCTCATGGTGCTCGACATTTGTGTAACAGCGATGGTACTAGAGTGTTACTGAGGAAGAACCTATGCATCTTCACAAATGTTTTAATAGCCACTAGCTTAGCACTCAAAGAGAGATAACTAGTTCCTGGGCAACACAGCCAAGAATTCAAATACAAAACAACATATGATGCTGTTTTGATTCCATGAATCAGTTTAAAAATGAACAGGATATCCTAAACATCATCCCTAGTTCCCTACCTTTTCAGGGACAATTATCAACTTTGGTGAAAATGAGCGTTAAAAAATTGGAGTTTGGGACCTGAAGAAGTTATTTTAAGCATTCTTACAAAAATGATACATCTAAAATTTACCAGAAGATGCATACACACAGAGGTTAGAACTAGGAAGTAGGACGAGCATAAAAACATGCAAAGCTTATCCAAATCCATTGATCATACTAATACTAGAAAACATCTCATTGTTCTTTTAATTCATTTGATTTATTTTCTCCGGAGTGGGGGTTAAGGTGAACGTCGTTATTCTTCATCCATTGGGTGAACTCTTGTATTCACTACCTATGAACTATATACTTCATCTTGCCTTTCAAAAGTTCAATTGGCCAGCTAAGCTAGCAACCTTCAGATTATATGGAATTATAGGAGGAAAAATTTTAATTTCAAATTTAGCACCTTAGGAAACATTAACCTCAAATCAAAGACCACAAGCAATATGCAAAAATCTGCATCCAAAACCATGTAATAATGCATATAACATGAACGATTCTACCTAATATTCTTTATACACTTCTCTTGATTTGACTAACAGCAATTGTTGAAGCTTTCAACAAGCCTTATGACCAATGAACCAAAACTAAATTATTGCATTCAAAAATTAGGAATATCCTAATCACTAGAACCAACGGCAAAACGTTTCTATACCGAAAGTTGTGCCCATGAACCAACAAGTTCTAAGCATGGAACCCTAAATTCATCAACAATTCAACATTTCTAATTCTACCCTTGCAATAACAACTTGTGTTTGTTAAGCAGTTGATCATTAAAAGGATGCATTTTCCGTTCAATTTGAGTTCATTCTCATTTCAGTTACTTGAGAAGTTGCCAACTAAGCGTGCATACTCGAGTTAAATAAGCAAAAAATTGAACAGTGTGAATGGGCAGCTTTGAAAAATCGAATTGCCCAAGTTTGCATGCTTCTTAACTATAAATGAAACAACTGAAGTGAAAAGTTTAGAGTAAAAGTATACCGGAGAAGAGGTATGGCCTGATCTGATATAAAGTGAGCCATGGGAGTTCCCACTTGGAGTGTAGTAATACTGTACATCAGAGGGTAGAGTGCATGGTTTGAGCTGAGAGTCCAGACGATCCTCCATCGTGGATACGAGATCAACCATAAGGTTCCTATGTGGGGCAGAGACGAATGGGAAATCCGTGTACTTTTGGGGGGCGATTTCCATGGGAGATGACGATGATGGTGCAGAAGATGAAAAGAATTGAAGCCTGGGTGAAGGCGGAGCCAGAGAAGAAGCAAGTGAAGAGAGAGGGATAGGGGAATTTAGAAAACGTGGGAATATGACGGCCATTAGTTGTTGTGTTGTTCAGTTGCCTGCCTGCCCCTTGTATTTAATCAATGCAAAGCTTTTTCAACAGTACACGTTACTACGTTACGGCACTAGGCAGAGTACACGGAAATGTGATCATCAGTCCTGGGTACACAGAAATTAGTTGATCTTTATTTTTATATGTAATAGAATAAATAGAGATAAGATAGTAGGTTGTCTTTAATATCAAATAAAATAATAGGTCTTCTACGAAAGCTATTAATTTAATGGTTTCGATGATTCGAGGGTGTATAGGAGCTCTTTTAAAAACAACTACAATATCCTCAACTCCGATTCCTTGCGAATGAAGGTCTTTCATCATTCGTTCCTATAATAGTTTATCAACGATTAATTGGTTGATTGGAAATGAAGAAAAATAATTTTGAATATTCTTTTTTTTAAATAAAACTAATCGCTTTTATTTGCATAAAAAATAGCTACAATGATAAGCAAATGACAAAAAAATAGTGAAAATTATGAAAAAATTATTTTTTGTGGTTCATTTAATTTCGAAACAATTGAGTAAATTTGGAGTTATCACAAGATCTCTAACAGGGCCATTAAGCTAACCCCAATATCACAAATTATCAAAAAATATAACATAAACACTCTAATATGCCTATATAAGCTAACTCCATTAAATTTTTCAACTCATGAAACTATTATGTATTAAATTATAATGTTAGTTCCTATAGTTTTATTTTTTTAAATTTTTTAAAGCATATATTTTTAAAAAATCTAAGGTGTGGATGATTATTTGTGTCATCCCTTATGTGGCGCCAGTTCGGACAAAATCCCGTTAAGACGCGGATAACGATTTGTGCTTGTCCTGATGTGGCGCCAGCTTGATCATCCGCGCCTTTCATGACATGGAGCCAGCTCAGACGAAACCCCACAATTTGTTAGAAAGGGTGCTAGATTGGTAAAATTTGGCAAAACGGTGCCTGACAGGTAATTATTTATTGTGAGAGTGATTTTTGGGTAAAATCACATATTTTAAATTGGGGGTCAACATTACATTGACTCAAATCTAATTAATTTTTTGAACTAATTTAATTAATGAGTTTTATTTTATAACTAAATTTTATTTAATATTTTTTATTTGGATCAAATTTATAAAATTAGAGTCGAGTTGAGTTGTTCGAGTTTCTTTTTAATTAAATGGCAAATATTTTTAATGTTATGATACTAACTAATTCCAATTTAAATTGTTTCTATAATAGCAATAACATTTGGCCGATTGACCAAGCTGCTTATCTTTGTACCCTTATATTATCCTAGGTCATTAGTTCTAAACCCACAAAGAACACTCACCTTCCTTCTCCTGTAATCCCCAATCTTATTGTCCTCTATGTAGGATTAGGATTAGATGTATAATTTGTTAAAAAAATGTACTTTTATACTCATATATATCATATATATGTATTTCCTCATATTTTGTTCATATGCAATATACATATATAATGAAGAGTTGAGGGATTCGATTTACACTTGAAATCAATCCACTCATTATTAAAAATTAAATTATATCTTATTTTATAACTCAAATTTTATTTTATATTTTTCAAGTTGAGTTATATTTTTAACGTCAAGTCAAAAATTAAAAATTTCAAAATGAATCGAATTTTGTTTATCCCTATTATAAACTACAAAAGATTAATCTGGGGTAAATATAAGGGGCAATATTTATTTATAGATAACTCTCAACCATTTGATATTGAACGCTCACACCCCTGATATTCCTAATGCTCGAATATGAGACCTCAAGGAAAAACAACAATTCCTTTACTACCAAGTTCGTTTAGTTTGTGCATAAACTTTCAAATTTTATTTAGAAAACATTACATATTATTATTGTGGGTAAAGTACACAAATGGTCCCCATACTATATGGAATTACTTTATTAAGTCTCTCGACTATTAAAAGTTATAAAATTATCCTCTTGTTATATAGTGTTGCTTTGTTGAGCCCCTCAATTATTAAAATCGTCACCTGCCTATTCATTACATTCCAAACTTGTCCTTTTCCGTTAAAAGATGGGCTATATTTTGAGTTGAACGTTAATATGTTGACTGTGATATGATGAAATCTTGTCCTAAAATCTCAAACCACTATCATATCCCAATCATCATGTTAACATACAACTTAAACAAAAGTCAATTTTTTTAACGGAAAAGGACGAGTTTAGAACATAATCAATTCTCGGGTGATCATTTTGAAACTTTTAATAGTCGAGAGACTTAACAAAGCAACATTATATAGTTGAAGGAACATTTTTTTTTAAATTTTTAATAGTCGAGGAACTTAATAAAGCAGTACCCTATAGTTGAGGACCATTTGTCTACTTTATCCTATTATTTTTTAATATCATACAATAATGTGTTTAAAATTAAATAATAATTTAAGATAGTGGTGTAAATTATTATAGTAATAATAAAAAGGATAAATTACATGTTTATACTATTAATTTTGGTTTGTTTTAGCACCTAAGCTTTTAATTTTTTTAAATCATACCTAAACTTTTGTTTTTATTTCATTTTAGTACCCCCGTTTAAAATTTAAAGTTTGTTGTGTGTTGTGAGTACTATAAATTATACGCAAATAATGTGCAAGTATATATAATCGCTCAAGTAATACAGTGATGAGTGAGTATCGTCTCCATAGGGATTGGGTGAAATTACAAAAGTCTAACCAAAGAATGTAGTAATCTATCTAAGTATAGTTAGTCTTGATATATACAAATGTCACAGCAAATGAAAAGTGTATGAAGGTGGATGTAGATGAATGGTCTGATGATGTAGTGAATGGAAATGTAGTGGCAAGAACAGATGTTTAGTGTTGAAAATGGTGTAATGTCGAGGCAATGAAAAAAGGTAAAAACAGTAAATAAATAGAAAATAAAATGATAAGAATATAATCCTCACGTGACAAGCTTCCATTGGAATGAATGGTAGGGTTTGATTTAAGGATGCTAAACTTATCTCTCTGGTAGATTTATGCTATCTAATCTTCACTTACTCGACAGGGTTTTCCTAAAGTGTTCCCGCTATCTCTAGTCAAAGAAACCTAACAGAATAGGATGCCAAGGCATCTGCTCTCACTCAACGAAGCTGGCAGCCTACGCTATTGATAAAAACACCCTTTTTAGTCGTTGAAATCCCATCCTAGTCTCTCTCGAGTACTAAAAGATTAGGATATAGTATTCCTAGGTCGGTTCAAAGCCCCTTGAAAACACTATAGCCCATTGCTTATGAGGATCTTGTTTTGTGTGTTTCTCTCGAATACTACAAGTATTTTTAGCTTAGGTTTCTCTCGAACACCTAACCTTCATCTTAGAAATGGACACTCTCATGCCTCTTACAAGCTTAGATGGTAAAGCATTCATAAGCAAAGCAAACAAATAACCAAGATAAACATAAATATACCATTAAAAAAAAGTTTAAACAACCATTAAACCAATCACCACCAAATAAGTTAGTTCATAGTGGGGTTCAAAATATCCCAAGAACAAGCCTTAAAATATACGTTTCAATAACCCAAAAATAAAAAAAAATAACAGCAAAAGGGAAGTGATAAGAAGTCTTCGACGCGCGTCACCGGAGGTCTCCTCGGCCACTACGAACCACCTTAGCTCACTAGTTCTTCTCGACACTTAGCTCGCCACTCCTTGAAGCTTTATCAATGGAGGAAAACCCAAGGAAGAAGAAGGGAAAAAGAAGAATAAAAATCTGGTTTTTTTTTTCTTCTCTATGCGTGTGTCTCATGTGTCCTATTCCTTCTCTCCCTTGAGGTGTCATATATCATAAAAATATCTAGGGGTAATGATTAGGTTGTTGGGTGAAAAATACCCCTCATACTCCTAGAATCACACCATAAGCGTAAACCTTATCCTCCAGGTGGCAGTGGTCCTCTGGCAGGCGGTTACAACAATCATTTCACGTGCAGCGCCAGCTGTCCTCATACAGCTGTATCTTTTTGTCATTTTTTGCACCGGAAATGGCAAGACATTTCAATCTGCTTCAGCAACGTGTGATGTCGCGGCATTACTTCCCAAAGAGTCCTTTTGTCTGTTATTCCCTGTACACCACAAACAACTGCACCTTCCTCTCATACAGCACCATTAAGAAATAAAACAACACTACCACCACAAATGCAACTATATGCAATTACATTATCCTAAAATGACTAGAATGAGATTTTAAACAAACAATAACTTAAGTGAAAAAGGCCTTAAAAGTAGCCTTTTTAGGAAGTTAACACACCCCCCAAACTTAAGTTATTGCTTGTCCTCAAGCAATGGATAACAGTTACATAAGCAGAATGTCATGGCAATTTTCAACAATAGAATAGTATGACAAAATTGAATTTCAACCCTCAGAAAAATAGGCTTCAACATGCTAGAGATATCAAGAAATCAAGTACTTTTCCCTAGGTCAAAATCCTTTGTGGTCATGTGTGTGCGTGATTGTATCCAATATATACTTAGCAAATTTAGACAATTTCTAATCAAGTCCCCTAGTTTTTGTCAAGGCATTTACTTATTCATTAAGCATATTTTTACTCACTTTTTATTGAATTTTTTTATATGCTATTACGAAGGGAGTCGGCTCATTACACCTACTCTTCCACACTCTAGGTGTAAGGGAGCATACCTTCCACCCCCGAGCTAGTTAAGTAGAGTCATCCCATGACTTCTTTCATTCACTTATATGCACAAGGCTGCCATTTATTAAAGAGAATTCCAGGCAATGCCACGGCAAAGAGGAGTGTCCCTCTACAGCTATGCCTAAGCATTTATTCACAGTTTCATATATAAGGGAGTTGTTTTTTATTTTTCATTTAAGCACAATACTATATTTCAATGCCAAAACTAACTAGAGTTCATTCATAAAAATTTTCCAAATTTTCTAAGTATAGAGAACATACAAATCGTGTAAAAAAATTCACAAAGCATCAAGCCCTAGAGTGAGTTCTATCATTCTCAACAGTCATTTACA